GGCAAGGGCTTTTTGTGGAGGTCTGAGGCAGTGCCCCAGCCCCACCACTCGCCCCTGAGCCCGCTGTGTGTCCCTGACGCCGCTGAGTGTCCCTGACCCCACTCCACGTCCACTGCAGGCAGCTGCTGACTGAGGAGCAGAAGCGCCTCTATACCAAAGTGGCTCAGTACTGCAACCGCTCCACGGACCTCATCCCCATGTCATTCGTCCTAGGTATGGGTCCCTCCCCTGAACCCAGGAGTTGGGGTCCCATGCTGCCCCTGGCGCTGGTGGCTTGAGGTTGCCCCCACAGCCCATCCTGACCCCATGCCAAAACATCCCTTGGACACCATCGGATGGGGGATGGAGGAGCCTGGCACCCCAGGGATGGCACTTGGCTCCCAGACCCACCGAGCACAGCTCCCTGGCCCTGGGGATGCCAGTGGGAGGCTGTGACTTCCCCTGGCCTGCTCTGCACCCTCGTCCCCATGCCCAGGAAAGGGGCACCTTATCTACAAGAGATGGCTGTCCTGCCCTGTGCCACCCGTGTCCAGGGCAGGAAAGAGCTGGGGACATCCCCACCTCCATCCCTGGGGAGGGCAGCCCAAAGGGAAACACAATGTGCACTTTATCTCCTGGCCACAGACAAATCTGTCACCCCTGGAAACGTGGCAGCTCTTCTGGCGTGAGCTCGTCCTCACCTCAACCCACCGCCCAGCTATGCCGAACCCCCACGTGCTATCTCTCGGTGCAGGTTTTTACGTCACTCTGATCGTGAACCGGTGGTGAGCGCAGTACACCAGCATCCCCCTGCCCGATCAGCTCATGTGCGTCATCTCCAGCAATGTCCACGGCAAGGATGAGAGGGGCCGGATCCTGCGGCACACCCTCATCCGTTACGCCAACCTGTCAGCGGTCCTCGTTCTGCGCTCCGTCAGCACCAGGGTGCTCAAGCGCTTCCCCACCATGGACCACGTGGTGGAAGCGGGTGAGGAGCTAAGCCCCGGGGATGATGGCTTGCAATGTGGGGTGAGAGCTGGGGGCCACAGACGTGTCCCCATCACCGGGTGGGTGTGCTGGGAGCCGGGGATCCCTGCCCCAAAGTGCACCGCACACGGGATGGCATCCTTGCATGGATGCTCACCCCCAAAGAGCCCCGCATCCCCTCTGCCCAGAGCTTGTCTCCAGGAGCTGTAGTTTCCCCTGGAAAACCCTGTGGTCCTGCTGGGGACAGTCCCCAAAAGGGCTCTACCCCGCCAACACGGGGTCCGTGGTGCTGAGCCTCTGCCCTGCCGCAGGCTTCATGACGCAGGACGAGCGCAAGAAGTTCGAGAGCCTACACTCTGACTTCAACAAGTACTGGATCCCCTGCGTGTGGTTCACCAACCTGGCGGCCCAGGCCAGGCGGGACGGCCGCATCGGTGACGACGTGGCCCTCCGCCTGCTCATGGACGTGAGTCGGTGCCGGGTGTGTGTGGGGGACCAGGCGCTGCGGGGGGGCTCATGCAAAGCCCAGGTCACCCGTCCTTGTCCTCTTCACCCAGGAGCTGAATCTCTACCGGGCCAAGTGCAGCATGTTGTTCCATTACGACTGGATCAGCATCCCCCTGGTGTACACACAGGTGGGTACCCCCACACCCCACAGGCCCACAGGCCCCCCAAGCCCAGATCCCAGCTCCTTCCACCCCACAATGGCAGAGGAGCCCCACAGTGTCCTCCCTGCACCCCGATGGGGAGCACATTTTTTTTTTGGGAGCACATTACCCCCCTTCCTAAAAGCACTTTACTCCCCCATTGAATCCGGTGCCGGATCCGGCACAGCCGCCGGTTCACAGCCCCACAGGGATGTGCAGGACCCCAGGCGGCGGGGCAGTGGGGTTTAGCCTTAAGCCCACGAGAGCATCAGTGACTGGCTGAGCCTCTTGCATCCTTGCTGCCCCTGTGCCGAGCGTCCCCCTCGACTGCCACCCTCGCCGCCGGCTGACCTGTGCTTCTGGCAGGTGGTCACCATCGCTGTCTACTCCTTCTTTGCCTTCTGCCTCATCGGGCGGCAGTTCCTGGAGCCGCTGGAGCCAGGGCAGGAGGGGGACCTGGACATGTATGTCCCTCTCTCTACCCTCCTCCAGTTCTTCTTCTACGCCGGCTGGCTGAAGGTGAGATGCGGCCACGCAGCCGGGCTTTGTTTTATGGGCTGGGGGTGGCCAGGTGGCCCTTAGCAACCCCCTGGGCTGGGGGGTGGCTGGCCCAGGGCGTGGCATCAGCCATGTCACTGCTAGCTGCCCTTGGGGACATACCCTCTGGGCCCAGCCATCACATTGGGGCACCACGGAGCTCCAAGTCTGCATGTTTCATGTGCCCCATGGGTAGATCAAGCCCCGTGGGAGGTGTCCCTGCCCCAGATCGCCTGTCTCACCTGGCCCCCTCCCTCCCCAGGTTGCAGAGCAGATCATTAACCCTTTTGGAGAAGATGACGATGACTTTGAGACCAACAAGCTGATAGACAGGAACCTGCAGGTGGGTCCTGCCCCAGGCTGACATTGTGTGGGGATGCTGTTATCGGGGCACAGGGACATCCCTGCCCCCTGGCAGTGGGACCTGTGCCCTGCCGGCCCCCAGCCCTCCTCCTGGCCACGCAGGTCCTTGTCCAAAATAGATTCCCATGCAAGGAAGCAGGGCTGCACCTTGTCCCTCCATCCCTGTCCCTCCGTGTGTCTGCTCCCCACGGCAGGGTCAGCACACCCCCCGGGGACGCTCAGCAGCCTGGTACCGCTGCTCAGCCCCTCACCTCCAAGAAAAGCGTTCAGAAGGGGAAAACCCCAAATGCAGCCAGGAAATGGGCCCGGAGCCGCCCTGGCCCCTTGCAGAGCCCAGCCCTACCCCTGCCAGGTTGGCGCTGGTAGCAGCATGCAGATGCCACTGGTCCCGCTCATGTCCTCGCAAAGCCACCCCTGTCCCCTGCCTTTGCCGTGCCCAGGTGTCCCTGCTCTCTGTGGATGACATGTACCAGAACCTGCCCCCCGCGGTGAAGGACAAATACTGGAATGAGTCCACGGCTCAGCCCCCCTACACTATGGCCACAGCCTCTGAGACCTTGAAGCCCTCGTTCCTGGGCTCCACCTTCGACATGTGGTGAGTGCGCAGAGCAGCCCTGGGGCTGGAGAAAAAGAGGGCAAGTGCTTCAGGGTAGCAATAGCACAACCGGGCTCATCCCCCCTGGGCCCAATTGCAGCGAGCAAACAGAAAATCCCCCTTGGAGCACATTGCCCAGCCCCTGTGGGGCTTGGGGACTGCGCTGGGCGATGGGTGAGCCACTGGGGCAGGGACGTGGCCTCCCGGAGCTGCTCCCTGCTTGCAAATGCACTGGGATGGAGGCGGTGAGTGGTGCTGGGCATCCCTGTGGAGGATGGCAGCCTGTCCCC